TTGGTTTCTTAATAATTTCATCCGCCACGGTTCGTTGTAAATGTGATATAGATGAGTGATCAGGTACTGTGGTCACTAATGTTCCCGTACTCCTTATAGAACTTGTTGATGATAATGTCATTAATTTAAATTGTTGAAGAAATAACTTGGTGAATGTTTCGAAGTTGAAAATTGCATCGCTGTTGTCAGCATACCATAAATAAGCATCGCCCTCTAATAGTAAAGGTATGGCGTCAAATTGATCATCACGTCGTAAACCACATGCTTTAAACTGATTCATGGTTTGCAATAACCAATTTTTTGCATCACCAACACCTGAATATTTGTCAAACTTTGCATCGATAAGGTCTTCTAGTACAACCACTTCGGTATTGTTTAATGTTGAAATATCAATTGACGGAGCAATTGTTCGAATTGATTTATAGTTAGATGAATTTTGTTTTAATCGTTCACGAAATAATGTCCAATCGTCCTTAACTTCATCTTTAGTTTGTTCATACCATACTTTTTGTTCTTCATTTAAAAAATTTGATTGTATAGTTTATACGCTGTGATGGTGAATAATTTAAAACATCATAAACTTGATTCAATATAGATAACCATTTATCAGCACCAATTCTTTCTTCTTCTGCTAAGATTCGAACATGTCGACGTACTAATTCATTTGGTGTACTTATATGTTGTGCTTGTGTTGTAAGAACTGGTTGCATCGTTTTTTCAATTGTTTTTGCATCTTCATTTAAATTTGAAGGTGAATCATCATTAGTCATAATTGGAAATTAAATTTCGTCGTTGAATAAGTAGGAAAGAATCAACTCCTGAAAAGAAGGATTCCTTCTTTAAAAAATTATAAATATAATCGTTGTTGAATTAAAAAAAGAAAAGATTCTGTTCCTTTTTAAACCGCTGTCACCACTTGTTATGCTTTGATTTGCACTTAATCTTAAGGACGTTCGAGTTCACTTTAGTTGAAGCATAACTGACTAGTTTATTTTACTAACACCTTTATAACAACAAGACTAACAAAAGAAAAAGAAACAATCACACACACGAAAGAAATATAGAAATATAAAATATAGATGGCAGGATATAACAGATACGAACTTATATCCTATCATTTAACTGAAAGCCAGTTTCAGGCCAGGTTTCTGCATGTTTGTTTTTTGATGGAACTCATCGAGCTTCGAACAATTAACACAGAAATTAGTTAGACTGTTCCATTTGCAACGAAAATTGTCAAGTAACAAACAGAAATAAGTTAAAGTAGAAAACAACACTACTTTAATAATTAAAAAGTGTAGTATCAATCTTTTGCAAAAACCCTTAGTTAGAAAGTTCAACATATTGAACTAATCTTTTGTATTGAGTACCAGTAAACTATGGAGTATGCTTTTATTAATAGAAATATATAATTTTGTAGAGAATATAAAGGCGAATCTTTTGGTAAAAAGATCAATTTCGAAATACTGAGAACTGAATGAGATATTGGCAAAACACTGACACCGCCATTTATTCTGGGCCATCCGTTAAAAGCCACCACTAAAGAAAACTAGATAAATAACAACACTGATATAATTGATAAGTAAAAACTTTCTGGAAATATCGATGGCTAGAAGAATATCTGGATCAGTAACAGTCTTTTGTTTTTTTACTTCTAACACAGAATTTCTCTTGCTCATCACTCTATGCACAACATACATGATTGGTTACACAGTTGACTGATGAAAATAACGTAAAAACTTTCGATCGCATATGTATAGAAGTCAGCGGCGGCGGCTCGTGTTATTAAAATTTTTTTTTCGTGACAGCGGCGCAGCGGCTGATTTTGATTTTTTGACGGCGGCGGCTGCTGAGAAATTTTTAAAATCATTTATGATTTAGTGGCGGCGGCGGCTGGTTTTCTAAGAAAATCGGCGGTGGCGACGGCTCAGCTGGATGGCTTACGCCTCTAGCGACGACTGTCACCCAAACTCGAGCAACAAATCAAAGCATGAAAATGGTTATTTTCAACATACTTGAAAATTCCTCAAGTTTATGCGTTACAAAATTGTAAGGGCGTCTTTGTACATTCTTTGAAATCGTTTTTAGGTCGCAGTCGCGAACCACGACTGTGACCGCAACACATGTTGTCAAATGAAACGTGAAGACACTTATTTTTAAAATGCATGCTGCTTTTGAAGGTTTACGCGCTAGAATCATCATTTGAGTTTTGCAGACGTGTTCAGTCCGCAAATCAGATCAGTCTATCAAAAACGCTTTCTTCAGTTCCACTTATTTCATAAACAGTCTTTTAAGCTTTGAGGCCCCATATAATCCAAGTTCATATAGTCATAGTGAGATCGAGTTTGCCAATAGTTCTAAAAATAAAAACAGACAAGTTCCTTTGACTAATGAAAGACCTAAAGAGACAAAGTAAGTTAAGCTATTATAAGTATGTAGATCAATCTCAAAGTATATCAAATGAATATGTATTCAATATTAATACAAAAATATAACATTTGAATGAGCGAAACAATAAGAGAAGAGTATAGATAAAGTCAACGTCGTAAATGGAAAGTAGAGGATAAAAACATTGTGTAATTCGAGGACGTGTGCTAATGTCATGAGCCGATACTTCTACCTATTGAGTAGCAACTGATTCTAGCAGCATTGGTAAAACTAGAGGTGTGAGTCGATATGTAAGTCGATACTTTCTTAGCTCCGAAAACTTATAAATTGGAAAAACAAGGAAATGATGACAGATAATATAACGATAAGAACTTAGACATAGACTCCGCAAAAACTGAATCCGAGTGTCGAAAAAACTTCAAAATGCTAGTATCTGTTTATGAGTCGCAATGTCTTGGATAGGTTACTATAGCGTTTGGCGTCGATTCCCTCAATCGGCTTGCATATTTAGGGTAAGCTGTCATTTCAATGGTCAAAAGCGAGTAAAATGGGATTAGAGACATTACTGAGGCTTCTGTTACTGTTCCATTAAACAAACAAAAAATATCTGAATTTCACAGTTTTATCTCATCAAAGGTTGTGCTGCGAAACTTTTTCTTGTACATATATTTTCCATAAAGTAGATTCGTACACAACGAGAATTATCTCTTCTCTTACAAACGTCAATAAACAATATGAAGCCATAACTTCATTATTATATATTTTTAATATGTTTTTAGCTATGCATGAATGTAGAAAAATAGAACCATTTTTTCGTCATCATTTTCATACATGTGAAATATTTATTTTAAATATTCCTCATTATGGTCTCTACAATTTTGCTTATTCCAATAATTCTGATAATGTTCTTATAAGTCTTATTGTTGAACATGGCACTCATGTAAGAACAACTTAAAATGATCTACTTGTTTTTTTAATAAGAAAATCTTTTCTTTTTTGGTTTTCCTTTCTCAAATAGACTCATCGTGTTAATTATGACGAAGAGAATAGATTCAAGCCACATACAATAAAAATAAATCGTTTCGATCAAGTACTGTTTCATTTATCATCAGCAACAAGAGCTAGTATAATATATCAAACAGATGAATATGGTAATCGATTAGAACCTGAACAAATATTATTTCAATCTCAACAAAATAATATTGATTACATTATGAAACAATTTTCACAATTAGGTGTCTATTATTTTTCAACGGATATTAAAAATCATGATAAACGAAAACGTAAACAATCATCAACATATCCATTAGCAATAATTGTTTTACCTGAAATTCGTTTTCATTATAAATCAGTAGATAAAGGTAAATTTGATTCTGAAACAGTAATGACAACAAATACAAATGATTTTTTTATTTGGAAATTTGAACGAACTATTTCTCATGATGTTATACGATTACGTTCAAATGCAACATTCAAAGATTTAATATCATGTTATGAGAGAGCTATTGCTGGAAAAAATCGACGATGTCTTGCTATTGATTGTAAATCTATTCCGCCTGGGGCATCCTTTTTTTGTAATCCAGGTAAATAAATAAATAAATAAATAAATAGATATTGAAAAGAAATTATTATTATTTAGACTTTGAACAAGTTACTGGTTCATATCAAGTAAATTTTAAAAAATAGATGAAAAATATATTATTTTATTTTGTATTTATTTCAAAGGATCGATTTATATCAACAATTATTATTGATCCACCATTTAGTCAATACTCTTTTATTATAACTAATAAACAATTTGTTCCCAAGGTTTTATATATTAAAAAGGTGAATAATTTTCTTTAATAAATATTTTATTAATACAAATATATCATAAAAATAGAATGATACAGTATCATGGATATTAAAAGATAATCAATCAAATCATCGAATTTATGTACAATCAATTGAAAGTGATGATCAAGACGATGAAGTAATATTTTAGAAATATCTTTTTTTGCGAATCAATTCTAATGGATTTTAATTATAGAATATTCCTATTCATCGAAATATTGCTGAATATGTTAACGGTGTTTATCATTTACATACATTTAATAAACGAGGAAAATATATTATTAAATCTAATGGTTTTCCGAGTACGGCAACTGTATTTGTTGATTTGGATATTGATATTAGAAGTTCAGATAAAAGTTTTATTTGAAAAAAGAAAAAACGTATTCTTTTTTTGCTATTTAAATAGAGAGAGAAGTTCAACAACCTGAAATACGTGAAGATATCTATCCTGTTAGTCCATTTGATACACAAATACATTTAGATTGTCCAAATCATCGAAATATTAATATTTATTATACACTTGATGGTTTACCTCCAACACAACACGATAAAAATGTTCATGTAAATAATAATAAAAGAAAAACAAAAATTTTTTTTTAATTTTTATTTCTAATTTAGTTCTACGATTCAAATAGAGGTGTACGTTTTCGTGCACCAGGTTTGCATGTTTTACGTGCTTATTCAACAGAAGATAAGAAATTATCAAGTTCTATTATAACAAGCAGGTTTGTTTTATTAATATTTTATATTTTATATAGATTTACGTTTGTCAATAATAGGAGTGTTGAAGATTCAATGTATTTGATATTTCGAAATTGTCTGAATTTGCGAACACTTATTTTTGTTCGTATCATTAAAGTCACCCAAAATTAATTTTAAGTTTCTGTCTGAATATAAGAAATAAATGATGTTCCTATTATAATCAAACAGAAAAACCTCTTTCTATGCTTCGTTATTAAGAAATTATTTCCTATTAAATACACCACGTGTCATGAAGTGTTGAAAGCTTAAAATCAGTTTTTTTCCATCTGTATATTTATTGACAACCAAGTGTTGTTTAATGTAGCGAAAGTTTAAAACTAAATCTAAGTAATGTTTGATTAATGACATTTAGAAGACAAAAAAGCAAATCAACATGAAAGACGTGCAATGTAATATATAAAATAAAACATTGACGAATTGTATAATTCACAGTTCAGCATTAATTCGAACAGTCTCAATTAAGATCGAATCAGGGATTCTCGGTTTTGTTCCAGATCAGAGTTATGTATAAAACCTGCAATGAACGCTGAACTGTATGTCATACAAACTTCGCTGATTTCTTATCTTGTAGAAAACTACTTGCTCTGCAATTCTATATAAGTATGTGAAAAAATTCTGGAAACTTTTTGTTTCGGCGCTTTCTAAACTTCGATAAGAAAAAGAGAGAAAACTGAATTTTTACTCTCAATAGATGTCGAGTTGAGATCTATTTTTCCTTGTTATTTTAGTCCAACATTTGTTATGGAAGATGAAGAATTCGAACCTTCATGGAATAATTGCAAACTAACACTACCAGACAGTTTATCAGTATCAAATGAACCAAGTACAATGTTTTCAATGGAGGCACATATTGGTGTTCGTGATAGTGAATATAAAACATTAAGCACAATCGAAATGAGCCGTCAGAGAAGTGATACGGAGGATGATGATGATAAGAAGAATAAGTATAAGAATCTAAAAGAACATCAACAACCGTCTACTTCTACTGGTCCATCAATAACACAAATAAAACTTGATATACATAAAACAAATTCAAAACTAAAAGAACCACCAAAGAGACCAACAGAAAAAACTCATGGTGAAACATCCGTTTCACTTGATGATTTTAATTATCGAGCAGAAATTCTTCTTAAAAAATTAACACGAGCTATTGAAAATCGTTCAAAAGAATTAAATTCAACCCGTATACATCCACATACATCATATCCTGGTACTTATCATTATAAACACAATTAATTTCTATCACAAAGACTATCAATATCATCTCATAATCCATATACAGATAAACGTTCACCAAAATGAAAACAATATTCATCAATATTAAATAAAAATCTTAATCAAAGCGATAATATATTGACTAATGACACTTCATAATCTTCAATTTTTATTTTTTTTAGTATTTTTTTATCTTGTAGTTTAAATCACTTTTGGTTCCATTATCTTATATACGCATTTTATTAATTAAACAAGAAAAATACATGCTAATTTAGTATTTTGGGAAATAAATGTCAATTGGCATATATTTTGGGTGTGGGTGTGGGTGAAAATCTTCTTTTCACAATCACCCCCACACACCTACACCCACACCCCACCCACACCCGCACCCCACCCACACCCACACCCACACCCACACCCACACTCACACCCACACCCACACCCATCAAGGTACTCTCATTGCACTGAATGTTTTTGGTAATATATATATTCAAACGAAAATACAGATATACAGGCTGATATAAAATTTCACGGGCTTTCAGAATATGTCGTTACTTTTTAAAAAGTATGTTCTTTTGGTAACAATATCCTCAAAATAGAGAGGGACACTTATTTTTGCCAGGGGTATATATACGAGTGTTACAATATAATATTATTCAATCTAGTCTTTTGTTTTCAGCTAATATTAATTTGACAAAAAGAAATTTTCCATATTTTGCTCAACTATGGTTTCTATGAGAAACGTTTAAGTCTATTCAAGTAGAGATTAAACGATTTAGTAAGTTTTTACTCATTACTTAGAACTGTGTAAATATTCTATATATAGCAGTAGTGTACGGATTTGTTTTCCATAAAATAGCGACAAGAAGAGATTTTCAAATTCTGAAATCCTAGAATTTTCCTCATTTTCGAAGCAGAAAATCAACTAAAGTAATATTTAAATACAGCTTAAAAAAATATACTTAATAATAATTTACCTAATGTATAAGGAGTGCCTGTTTGATCATATTGTCTACCAATCATTATTTTCAGATGTGTCAAATTTGGAAGAGTTCCATTATAATTTTTTTGAGCAAAAGTGATTATATCAGGAATATGTCGAATGTTGATTGTCAATGATTGAATATTATCGATAATATGAGGCATGATATGTGAATAAAATCGTTGAATAAGTGTTTCATATGGTGATTGAACATAATCAAAAGTTAAATCAATTGAATGACATTTATCAATTGCAAGTTGTTCCAAACGAGTATTACCAATATTAATAATAGAATTAAGCAATAACACGCGAGCTTTGACTTTATTCATAATTATTAAAATTAACTCATCAGGTAAATCGAATAATTGAAAATTGTCTTCTGTGCACAACAATAAACAAATGGATGATATTTTGAAATAGTTACATACTCATACCTGATAAACAATTCATTGTTGAGACATAAAGGAGTTTTTAGCGAGGAAACGAGGGTGCTTTTACGCGCAATGACGAGAGAATCGAAAGTTGATATAGCAAAACATAAAAATGCTCAATGGCAGAACTTCTTATCTAATATTCAAATGTCGTACGAAAAATCAGATAAAGCGTTTTGGACACACTTATCGCGCATATACAAATCGCGATCGCTGCCGTTCTATAAACTATCGGATGGTACTAAAATAATATCAACACAAGAAGGAATCACTAACGAATTATTCCAGTACTACAGCGAACAGTTTAAAGTACCTGCATTGGATTTCTCTAATGAACATGAAGGTCAGATAGATAGGATGTATAAAGAGATGTTAAATAGATTATCAGTGTCGAAGGTTAACGTAGAAAAAACTAGTACTGCTGAAATTAGGCGTATAATTAAAACCTTAAAGCCTAAGAAATCAGCAGGCTTGGACGCAGTGTCAAACTTTATAATTAAAAAACTTCCTCCAAGTTACATCGAGTGCTTAGCTAACTGCTTCAATACATGGTTAAACGAGTGTCATTATCCAGATGACTGGAAAATTGCAAAAATCATTACTCTAAA